ACCCAGACTAGCACAATCCTCATTTTTAAAATGTGATCAAAGATGTGCTGCTGAATAGCTAAAGTGTAAAGGAAATTTCCGAATTATTTTTAAGTTCCATAAGGAAGATAATTACTTAATGGAGATCTGTGGGGAAAGGGAAGAATGGTTTTGTTGCATGCATTGAACATGTTCTAAAGGAAGCACTTTACATTTGATCCTTACAGCCACCTTACTCCTTACACACTGTAATCCAGTCAATGCAAACTCACTGCTCCTAGTGACCCGCTGTGGGTTTCTGAGACTTTAACTTTACCGGAGTAGAAAGCTCCTGCCAAGCTGCTGGTGGTTTTTCGAACTGCCGACCATGTGGGTCACAGCCCAATGCGTAACCACTGCACCACCAGGGCCCCCCAACAACCTTGTAAGTTGGGAATTATTATTATCCCACTATTATTCCTTATCTATGAAAATAGAGGGTGCTATTTTCCTTATTTTATAAGGAAATTGAGCCCTAGAGATGGTTAGTAACTCCCCCCACAGTAGCGATAGAAGGCAGCAGAAGAGGAATGGAAACAAGCTCTCTGGCTCTGCAACCCACATCCCTCCCCCTTCTTCATGTAACTGTATGTTAATGGTTCAACGTTTCCCTTTGTTTCCAGGGAGACTCCCTGTCATGCTGTCTGCCTCATTGCTAATAAAGCCACGTGTATTAGGAAAGTGAAGGTTGGGGTGGAATGAAAAATATTTTTATTCATTTGTGATTGGTCACATTTTCATCATCATCTGTGCAATAGTGTGAGGTATATTTTTACATGCATTTAAAAACCCCTACCTTCAGCAGATGGACATTGAGCCTCCACTCAAGTACTCCCTCAATGCAAGAACACTTTATTTTATTAAACTGGCATTCCATGATGCTCACCTTCCCTACACAATTGCTGAAGACAAAATGGGTGCATAAACAAATATGGTGAAGAAAGCTGATGGTGCCCAGCTATCAAAATATAAAATATCTGGGGTATTAAAGGCTTGAAGATCAACAAGCAGTCATCTAGCTGAGAAGCAACAAAGCCCACATGGAGGAAGCACACCAGCCTGTGTGACTATGAGCTGTTGAAGAAATCAGGTATCAGGCATCAAAGAACAAGAAATCATATCATTGTGAATGAGAGGGAATGCAGAGTGGAGACCCAAAGCCCATCTCTAGGCAACTGGACAACCCCTTTCAGAAGGGTTGCAGGGAAGAGACGAGCCAGTCAGGGTGCAGTATAGCAATGATGAAACATTCAACTTTCTTA